TATAATTGGCGAATATTCTAAACTTTTAAAATCAAAACTTTGAACAGCATGCTATTAGCTTATCAAGTTTCACTTGAGTAAGCAGTTGACATGAACTGGATTGGATCAACGTGCTAAGGGACATGGATGATGCTCATGGAATGACACAGAGCCTTATGAGTAAAGAGGAAACAGTTACACCGGAACAGCCCCAGAGACATTGTGCCTAGTTACACCTTAACTAAAGATGATTATTACACCAGGCACTCCTTCCGTCTTTCCCTCCTTATTTCCTTCCTTCCTTCCTTCCTTCCTTCCTTCCTTCCTTCCTTCCTTCCTTTGGATTGCATAATTTATTAATATCTATACACTGTGATAGGTTTTAGAGATACAACAGTGAACAAAAACCACAGAATCTCCTCCTCAGAACTCACACCTCAGTTATTTATGTATATTTTTCATAGTTTGGTAATATTAGTACAGAGGTAGAGACTCTTTGCTACCTACCCCATATCCACTGAACCCTTTTTTCCTTTTAAAGAAATTTGGGGTGCCTGGGTGGCTTAGTCGGTTGAGTGTCTGACTTCAGCTCAGGTCATGATCTCACGGTTTGTGAGTTCGAGCCCTGCATCGGGCTCTGTGCTGACAGCTCAGAGCCTGGAGCCTGCTTCGGATTCTGTGTCTCCCTCTCTCTCTGCCCCTCCCCTGCTCATGCTGTCTCTCTCTGTCTCTCAATAATAAATAAACATTAAAAAATTTTTTTTACATAAAGAAATTTCTGTTACTGAGGGCGCCAATGTAGACAGATAAAACATTTCCCATCTTTCCTTTAAAAGAGAGTTATCCAACAAAATGTAAGCAAAGGTCAATGGATGAGTTTCCCAGCAAACTTCTTTAACTGAGGGCTACATCCTTGTGCACTTTGTCCTTCTTCCTTCCTACTATATGGAACATGGATATGATGGCTGGAGCTGAAGCAGTTATTTTAAAACCATGAGACAACTTGAACATGGAAACAATATTCTCAAAATGTAGAGGGGAAAAAAATCAAAGGGGCCTGATTTGGGCCAAAGTTCAGGAAAGCCTGCCTATGAATTTCCGCTACATGAAAAATAAAGTCGTGTGTGCTTCTTACTTAAATTATTTCAGTTTTTAAAAATATGCCATTCTTTCTAATTATGACAGATACCCAAATATACATATATATGTATATGTGTATATATATGTATATGTACAAAAGACATAAATTCTAACACAAACACAAATTTATACACATATAATGAGATGTTATTCCAAATGCGGACTTGTTTATTTTCAGTCAAAACTTCCACAAACCCCTGCCATTCCAGCTTTAAAAGTTTTTCTGTTGAAAGACTGCTTGAAATGTTTTGAGGAAAGATGCCCAACTAGAGAAACTGGTTGGCCATTCTATGCAATTTTTGGTATTCAGAAGGGATAAACTAGTCAAGAGGAGGAGCCCCTTACCCACTGAAGTTCAAGATAAGCTACTCCTGTTATGACGTCTTCTACATTTGCTTTGATTTCAGTTCTACCATTTTCTAAATTCTTAGAGCGTATCTTCTATGTCATCAAATTCATTGTTGAATTAACCACCTTTTTTTTTTAAATTTTTTTTTTCAACATTTATTTATTTTTGGGATAGAGAGAGACAGAGCATGAACGGGGGAGGGGCAGAGAGAGAGGGAGACACAGAATGGGAAACAGGCTCCAGGCTCTGAGCCATCAGCCCAGAGCCTGACGCGGGGCTCGAACTCATGGACCGCGAGATCATGACCTGGCTGAAGTCGGACGCTTAACCGACTGCGCCACCCAGGTGCCCCTTGAATTAACCACCTTTTAGTAATTGTCATTGTTTATGGGTATCTTCTCTCTTCAGTACAATTAGCCTTGCAAAGAAGAACAGTATCTCTTCATGTTATGTTAGCCACTAGGCTGAGACTAGGACAAGCTATTCAAGTATTAACTAGGTGATCGTATGACCCAGAGATCCTTGTTTAGTGAATAAAACATGGTATTTTGATTTGGAATATTTAAGGTTTCTTTGTTTTGTTTTTCTTTTTAAAGGGTGCTTGGGGAAAACCTGGGTGGCCCAGGCAGTTAAGCCTCTGATTCTCGGTTTCGGCTTAGGTCATGATCTCATGGTTTGTGAGATCAGGCCTTGCACTTGGTTCCACACTGGTGGTACAAAGCCTGCTTGGGATTCAATCTCTCTCTCTCTCTCTCTCTCTCTCTCCCCACACACACACTCCACACATGCACATGTGCACACTCTATCCCTCTCTCTCAAAATAAATAAAATAAACTTTTAAAAAATGTTAAAAGGTATTTATATGAGCACTTCTTATAAGATAAATGTTTTCTTTTTTTTAATATTTACTTCTTTTTGAGAGAGAGAGAGAGAGAGAGAGAGAGAGACAGAGCCTGAGCAGGGCAGGGGCAGAGAGAGAGAGGGAGACACATAATCTGAAGCAGGCTCCAGGCTCTGAGCTGTCAGCACAGAGCCCAATGCAGGGCTGGAACACATGAACCGTGAGATCATGACCTCAGCTGAAGTCAGACACTTAACCCACTGAGCCACCCAGATGCCCCAAGATAAATGTTTCCTGAAAACACATAAAAGTTTCATCTCTTGTTACATCCTACAAGAGCATTTTTAGAAGAATGTCTTTTGGGGACACCTCAGTGACAAGTTTAGTGATAATAGTCAATAGGCTGCTCTTCCATTCTTTCATTCAGCAGATCTTTCTTGAGGACCCTCTACCCAGCAAGCATTGCTCTAAGCTGGAGGGGAGGGGAGGGGTGAGACGGATGGGATGGTAGTAGGGCAAAAACTGCACCACAGAGAACTATTCTAACTGGAAAAGCAGACTACAAACAAGTATTTCGAATGTATATATATATACATAGAATATATACATAATGTACATATATATACATATATATATATAGAATATAATTCTATATCATGAGAATAAAAAGTTCTCGAAATAATTTAAAGCAGAATGGTAGAAAAGAAAATGATAGGAAGAACTATTTTTCCATGTGGAGGTAGCAAAGTCAACAAAACGAAGCTCTGGAAAATGGCTTGCAGGTCCCCAGTTAGAGATGCCCTGGGTTTATCCCAGAAGTAGCCAGAAGTCTAGTATGTCTGGACAGCCATGAGTGAAGCATAGTGCTAGGGGAGGGGAACCCAGAGAGAGGCAGGGAACAGATTACTCAAGATTTCGGGGGTGAAAGTAAGAGTTTTCATTGTACTCCAAAGGTAATGGTAAGTGACCAGAAAGTTTTAATCAGGGCAATGCATTATCAGATTTGCATATTAAATTGTTCTTCTGGGTACAAGATAAAGGACAGAGTGTTTGAGATGCTGAAAGGAAACTGAGAGACCAGGTAGTAGATGACAAAGGAAGAAAGAATGTGGAGTGGACTAAGGAGAGTAGTGTTGAGAAGTCAAAAGGGGCGACATTCAGCAAATACTCAGCTAGTAGAACTGAGAAGACTTGCTGATGTAGGCGATGTGGTGGCAATATTTTGGTTAGAGTCAACATATAGAGCAGATGAAATCCAGAGTGACAATATAACGCACTGAGGTACTCAATAAAATGTTCTCATTTCATCCAGAGAGAACAAACTTTCCTTAAAACATTTTGCCTTTCAACTGTCACTGGATAAAGGGAGTCAGAGAATACTATTAAGAATTCTGATTGGCGGTGAGTATTTCTTTTAAGTGGCTAATCAGGAGGTAGAGGGAGAAAAAATAAAGAATGATAAGTTGTAGGATGATCATTATTTTGTAAACAATGTAAACGATCTGGATTCTAAATTATAAATGTTGAATATTGCTACTTTTATTTTGCCTCAGACCTTCACTTTGTCCCCTGGCAACTGGCAATTTTAATTATAGTAAGAAAATTTTTTTTAAAAATTGACAACTTAAAAATGTATAAAACCAGATTGGATAAGTTGAAAGTGCTCAGCAGGATGCTAGGTATATTTTATCTTTGAGTTATTGGGTACCATCAGAAAGATAGACATTCAGAGGAAGGAGCACATACCAGAAAATTGACAGCTTTGCGAATGGCTTGAAAGGTAGGAGAAAGATATATTTTAAAGAATACCAGAGAAAAGGAGTGAAACCTCCCAAATGTAGAGAACTCGGTGATTAAGTGTGTTGTCAATAGCTTCTGACAGCAGGCATGCAGTGAGACTTTGGGTATTTCACACACTGGCACTTTTGCACCACACAGATAAACACAAATCAACTATTTTGCTCACTGAGTTTGATGAGTTTACTCCATTTCCTCTATAGTCAACACTACTCGGATTAAATGGTATTTATTGTTGATTCCACTGGGAATCTGGAATCCAACCTATCTGGAATATAGCTGATTTGTGACAGATCACAGTGAGAGGTGAATCCACTGGTGATGGATAGGTAGGCAGGTAGGTAGGTAGACAGGCACTGGGGCCACTGTGGCCAGATTGTTGTATCCAAAGAAGGTGAAAATATTTTCTATGCCCTTGTGTAAAATTCCCAGTTTATTTTTATACGATAGCTCTTACTTAGACAGTCTTTTCAATTTTAGAAATTAAAAACCAAAAAGGAACTGATGAACAAAATAACTTCACAGAAATCATTTTGGAAGCACTCAAATTTTAACACTCAATTCTCATTAAAAGTCTCAATGTGGGAAACTTCTAAAAGTGAATCAAGATCAAATGATATCAGCAGTAACAGTTTTTGCCAAGATAAAGCCTGACCTTTCTAACTTAAGCTAGGTTATCAGGTTCACTGGAGAGAATAATGGAACTTGTCGTTGGAACTAGTAGTTAGCAATTAGGGACTGTGCATTATAATAATTTCATTTAGCATTTGAACAACTTTAAGATGTGATTATTATCTCCTTTTCATAAGATAAAGAAACAGAGATTCAAAAAGATAAATATTATCTGGGACTTGTAAAGAAAAAGTAAATGGTAGAACAGTGATTTACACTCACCCTTTTTGTGGTATTCCTACACCCTTCTTGCAGTAGGGAATCTTCATTGGACTGAAAGGAATGGTTAGAAGGTAAATTTCAGCTCCTAAAAAGGAAGCACCTTCTATCTATTAAACACTCTTCAAGCAAAACAGACTTTCTCAGGAGATCTCTTCCGGCTGCAAGATCATATGAGTCTACTATGATATTCTATAATCATGATAAAATAAACTAAGAATGGGATTTTTATCATGCAATTCAATGTATTATAAAAAAAGACTCAGGTAGGTATATATCACTCTTAACAGCACCCGGGGAAGGCAAGGAAAGATGGGCCCATAACCCCTTCACCACTGTGCGACTACACCAGACTGATGCTGTTCATCTTTAGTTGCCTTGCAGGGCAATAAGGGAAGACACCAGAGTCAGATTGTGAGTACCAGCCACAGGGAGCTACACATGAATTAATTCATGTTTTGTCCAGATCAACCAGTAAGAGAAAAATCCACCAGAGTTTTGTGGGGTCACAACTGCCAACCTTATCTTCTCCAACTTTTGAAATAGAGATCTGATATTTACTTCGCATCTTCACAAAAGCATACTCTGTCTTCTGAAGGAAACTGACGTGAAATTACCTGGCTAGTAATTAGCCAAACAAAATTGGCCTGGCTAGTGACTCAAGGTACTCTGGATTGTTTTGAATCCAATACAAATTTATTTAAGAAGGAAAAAAAAATGCTACTCTAATCTAACCACAAATGTCCTTATCACATAGATACTTCTCATTCACCTGATGCATTAGAACCATACCAGTTATATTCCTATTCCTTGAGAAGTTGCACTTTATCTAATTTGTTTACATTTTGACCTTCGCCACTAGTTCTGATCAATTTATTTGTAACTGTTACATTCATACATAAATAGAAGCTATAGTTCTACCATTAAATAATATCTACTTAAATTTCAGGTATTATGGCTACTGATAGTGACAAGAAAATTAACAGAAATCTGAAATATATCTCAAGATGCTATGAAATATATTTGCCTCTGCCCTTCAACTTCAGATAAACTGTGCTTTATATCCTCATTATTAATGCATATTATCTGACATGAATATTAAAATACGAGCATTTACAGAAGAAATATAAACTGCATTTACTACCAACATTGGCAGGGATGTGCAGGAACTAGAACTTGCTTACACTGTTGGAAGAAATATAAAATGGTTCAACCACTTTGGTAAATAGTTTTGAAGTTTCTTAACATTTTAAATATACATCTACCAAATGATCCATTCATTCCACCCTGACTATGCACTCAGGGTGTAAACATACCCATCTGTCAAAGATTTATACGCAAGTGTTCATAGCAGCTTCATTTTTTATAGCCCCAAACTGGAAACAACACATATGTCCATCCACAGGTGAAGAGATAAACAAATGTGGAGGATGCATATTATGAAATACTATTCAACAATTAAAAGGAGTGAATTATTGATGTGTGCTACAATCGGGGTGAATCCCAAAATTATGCTTAGCGAAAGCAGTACATACTGTAGGATTACAGTTTTATGAAATGAGAAAAAAATATGCAAACTAATTTATAGTGGCAGAAAGCAGATCAATGGTTGCCTGGGTAACCAGGTGGGGAAAAGGAGGGATTACCAAGTAACCCAAGGAAATTTTGAGGAGTGAGGGATATGTTCATGATCTTGGTTTTGGTGACATTTTAATGGGTTAATATATATTTCAAAACTTATATTCTACTCTTCTAATATGTAAAGTTTATTATATGTCCATAATGTCTTTTTTTCAATATATGAAATTTATTGTCAAATTGGTTTCCATACAACACCCAGTGCTCATCCCAAAAGGTGCCCTCCTCAATACCCGTCACCCACCCTCCCCTCCTTCCCACCCCCCATCAACACTCAGTTTGTTCTCAGTTTTTAAGAGTCTCTTATGCTTTGGCTCTCTCCCACTCTAACCTCTTTTTTTTTTCCTTCCCCTCCCCCATGGGTTTCTGTTAAGTTTCTCAGAATCCACATAAGAGTGAAAACATATGGTATCTGTCTTTCTCTGTATGGCTTATTTCACTTAGCATCACACTCTCCATTTCCATCCACGTTGCTACAAAGGGCCATATTTCGTTCTTTCTCATTGCCCTGTAGTACTCCATTGTGGATATAAACCACAATTTCTTTATGCATTCATCAGTTGGTGGACATTTAGGCTCTTTCCATAATTTGGCTATTGTTGAGAGTGCTGCTATAAACATTGGGGTACAAGTGCCCCTATGCATCAGTACTCCTGTATCCCTTGGGTAAATTCCTAGCAGTGCTATTGCTGGGTCATAGGGTAGGTCTATTTTTAATTTTCTGAGGAACCCCCACACTGTTTTCCAGAGTGGCTGCACCAATTTGCATTCCCACCAAAAGTGCAAGAGGGTTGCCGTTTCTCCACATCCTCTCCAGCATCTATAGTCTCCTGATTTGTTCATTTTGGCCACTCTGACTGGCGTGAGGTGATACCTGAGTGTGGTTTTGATTTGTATTTCCCTGATAAGGAGCGACGTTGAGCATCTTTTCATGTGCCTGTTGGCCATCCAGATGTCTTCTTTAGAGAAGTGTCTATTCATGTTTTCTGCCCATTTCTTCACTGGATTATTTGTTTTTCGGGTGTGGAGTTTGGTAAGCTCTTTATAGATTTTGGATACTAGCCCTTTGTCCGATATGTCATTTGCAAATATCTTTTCCCATTCCGTTGGTTGCCTTTTCGTTTTGTTGGTTGTTTCCTTTGCTGTGCAGAAGCTTTTTATCTTCATAAGGTCCCAGTAATTCACTTTTGCTTTTAATTCCCTTGCCTTTGGGGATGTGTCGAGTAAGAGATTGCTACGGCTGAGGTCAGAGAGGTCTTTTCCTGCTTTCTCCTCTAGGGTTTTGATGGCTTCCTGTCTCACATTCAGGTCCTTTACCATTTGGAGTTGATTTTTGTGAATGGTGTGAGAAAGTGGTCTAGTTTCAACCTTCTGCATGTTGCTGTCCAGTTCTCCCAGCACCATTTGTTAAAGACACTGTCTTTTTTCCATTGGATGTTCTTTCCTGCTTTGTCAAAGATTATTTGGCCATACGTTTGTGGGTCTAGTTCTGGGGTTTCTATTCTATTCCATTGGTCTCTGTGTCTGTTTTTGTGCCAATACCATGCTGTCTTGATGATGACAGCTTTGTAGTAGAGGCTAAAGTCTGGGATGGTGATGCCTCTTACTTTGGTCTTCTTCTTCAAAATTACTTTGGCTATTCGGGGCCTTTTGTGGTTCCATATGAATTTTAGGATTGCTTGTTCTAGTTTCGAGAAGAATGCTGGTGCAATTTTGATTGGGATTGCATTGAATGTGTAGATAGCTTTGGGTAGTATTGACATTTTGACAATATTTCTTCTTCCAATCCATGAGCAGGGAATGTCTTTCCATTTCTTTATATCTTCTTCAATTACCTTCATAAGCTTTGTATAGTTTTCAGCATACAGATCTTTTACATCTTTGGTTAGATTTATTCCTAGGTATTTTATGCTTCTTGGTGCAATTGTGAATGGGATGAGTTTCTTTATTTGTCTTTCTGTTGCTTCATTGTTAGTGTATAAGAATGCAACTGATTTCTGTACCTTGATTTTGTATCCTACAACTTTGCTGAATTCATGTATCAGTTCTAGCAGACTTTTGGTGGAGTCTATCAGATTTTCCATGTATAATATCATGTCATCTGCAAAAAGTGAAAGCTTGACTTCATCTTTGCCAATTTTGATGCCTTTGATTTCCTTTTGTTGTCTGATTGCTGATGCTAGAATTTCCAACACTATGTTAACCAACAGAGGTGAGAGTGGGCATCCCTGTCGTGTTCCTGATCTCAGGGAAAAAGCTCTCAGTTTTTCCCCATTGAGGATGATGTTAGCTGTGGCTTTTCATAAATGGCTTTTATGATGTTTAAGTATGTTCCTTCTATCCCGACTTTCTCAAGGGTTTTTATTAAGAAAGGGTGCTGGATTTTGTCAAAGGCCTTTTCTGCATCGATTGAAAGGATCATATGGTTCTTATCTTTTCTTTTATTAATGTGATGTGTCACGTTGATTGATTTGTGAATGTAGAACCAGCCCTGCATCCCAGGAATGAATCCCACTTGATCATGGTGAATAATTCTTTTTATATGCCGTTGAATTCGATTTGCTAGTATCTTATTGAGAATTTTTGCATCCCTATTCATCAGGGATATTGGCCTGTAGTTCTCTTTTTTTACTGGGTCTCTGTCTGGTTTAGGAATCTAAGTAATACTGGCTTCATAGAATGAGTCTGGAATTTTTCATTCCCTTTCTATTTCTTGGAATAGCTTGAGAAGGATAGGTATTATCTGTGCTTTCAATGTCTGGTAGAACTCCCCTGGGAAGCCATCTGGTTGTGGACTCTTATTTGTTGGGAGATTTTTGATAACCGATTCAATTCCTTCACTGGTGATGGGTCTGTTCAAGCTTTCTATTTCCTCCTGATTGAGTTTTGGAAGCGTGTGGGTGTTTAGGAATTTGTCCATTTCTTCCAGGTTGTCCAATTTGTTGGCATATAATTTTTCATAATATTCCCTGATAATTGTTTGTATCTCTGAGGGATTGGTTGGAATAATTCCATTTTCATTCATGATTTTATCTATTTGGGTAATCTCCCTTTTCTTTTTGAGAAGCCTGGCTAGAGGTTTGTCAATTTTGTTTATTTTTTCAAAAAACCAACTCTTGGTTTCATTGATCTGCTCTACAGTTTTTTTAGATTCTAGATTGTTTATTTCTGCTCTGATCTTTATTATTTCTTTTCTTCTGCTGAATTTAGGCTGCCTTTGCTGTCCTGCATCTATTTCCTTTAGGTGTGCTGTTAGATTTTGTATTTGGGATTTTTCTTGTTTCATGAGATAGGCCTGGTTTGCAATGTATTTTCCTCTCAGGACTGACTTCGCTGCGTCCCAAAGCGTTTGGATTGTTGTATTTTCATTTTCGTTTGTTTCCATATATTTTTTAATTTCTTCTCGAATTGCCTGGTTGACCCACTCATTCGTTAGTAGGGTGTTCTTTAACCTCCATGCTTTTGGAGGTTTTCCAGACTTTTTTCTGTGGTTGATTTTAAGCTTCATAGCATTGTGGT